AACAGAAAACAAAAAACTTCCTCAGCTGAAGAAATTAACTGTGTATAGAGTTTATCATAATCCTGGAAAACCAACTAAGAAACTGACACAGGCATTTCAAGGTGATAATGGAAAAAGGACAGAAAGCTGCAGTAGGAACCTAAAACAACAGAACTGGAAATAAGGCTTAGATTACAACATATGTTGTGCTACAGGAGAACAGATACACAGCAGGGCCACAGTCACTCGACGGTGTGCTTCAACAGCTCCTCCAACACGAGGAGCTTCTGGTACAAGTAACCACAGGATGAATCTCAAAAACATGTGAAGCGCAGGAAGCCAGACACAGAAAAATGTATGAATCCATTCAAACACAGTAAGACCCATAACTTAATTAGGATGATACAAATCAGAAAGTGAGTGGTAGAGAGGGGGCGGGGAAGCAAGAGAACTGACATGAAAATGGCAAAGGACTGTGAATGTGGGGGGGGGGGATGTATGTGTTCTATAGATCTTAGGTGGTGGTTTTAAATAGGTATATAAGTGTCATAAAAGCACTGAATGAAACGACAAAGATCTGTGTATGTCACTGCATGTTAATTATATCAGTAAAAATCTAACAATACATACTGTGAAAGCCTAAAATTGGGTTAAGAGTGAGCCAGAAACCTGACAGTAAGCATGCTAGTAGTTTAAGCCACACCCCAAAATGATTCACAGATTAATCTACAGGCCAGAGACTGATGGAGACATCTCTACTAGTATTTGCTTTAGTGGCTAGAGCAGCAAAACACATATGCTGAGCAACTCAGCAACATCTCATCATTCTCCTTTCATCCTCCCCAGTGTTTTTGATTCAGAGCACACTTACCCTCTTCTAAACTGGCCATTTCCCATTATGTCCTGTGGTTTTGCCCCACACTAAGAGGTGTGGGTGCAGGTGCTTGACTAGCTTATGAATTCCAAGGTCGCTTCAGAAAGATTACACATAATGCCCTCATTCAAAATATCTGAACATATACCAAATTCATGAGATACTTCAGTTTCCTCTAACACATAATAGATAATTTTCTTAGAAGTGCACACAAGCACACGCATGCACGCGTGCAACACACACACACACACACACAATCAGGTGGGTCCAAGAGGAAGGCCAGCCAGCCAGCATTCTGTCTCTGACCAAGGGCAGTATGGAGAAAACAATAATAAGGGAAGGTTTTATATAAGAGTACTTACACATTTCATTCAATGCCTTCATATACATTTTTTAAAAATACCAAAACCACAGAAAATAAGAAAAAACTGGAAAGTACCAAGGAGCAAAGAACACTGCAGAAAACACTGCAAGGAATGCAGAGATTAAATTGGGAAATGCAAACAAGATAAAAGCAATAAAGAGGCAGATCACTGTGGTGATGCTGAAGTTCTGTATCTCTGATTTTTGCATGGCAGTTACATGAATTCACACCTGTGATAGCACGGTACCCAGGACAAGTTCCTGGTGATGACACCATGGTATCATGATGGGAGATGTAACCGCTAGGGGAAATGGTAATCCCTCTATAAGATCTTTATAACCTCCTGTGGATCTATAATTTTTTCCAAAATAATAAGATCTTAATGGATTACAGAGACAATAAGTGCCAAAGTCAAGCAAAATAGATCCCACATATGCATCACCCAGGTTCTGGGGGTTGAAGCAAATTGTCCTTAATAAATAAATTGCTTGAGTCTACATACGGAAGAGTAACCACGAAGAGTCAACAAGAGATACAGCCTAATCAAACTAAAGTACACTTGAAGGAGAGAGCATCTTTGGCAGAAGCTTACAAGAAAAAAAATCAAGTCAATTGTGAGGAAGGAAAAACTGAGGTGCCTCAGATTTCCCTGCTACGTTCCACAGAAAGAGGAAAGCTATCCCTACAAAATAAAAATATAAGGGATGAAAGCAGAAGCAGACAATTTGAAACACACCCTGCTATGCTTTCATTATCAAAGCCACAGGTTAACTGTGGAACATGAAAGAGCCTAGTGAGTACTGTTCCCTCTGTTCTCTGAGCAAAAGACCAGAGTACATTCTTTAGTCTGTTGGGCCGGGGGGCGGGGGGGGGCACCTGATGGCTAGTTAAGAATATATTTAATGACGTAATAAGAACTAAACAAGTGAAGGATATGGTGATCATTCAAAATGCAAATGAAATGCCAATGTAGGAATTATGAAACAAAAAAAGAAAAAGGTGGAAAGGAAAAGAACATGAGAATAACCTCCCTAATTGTGTTCTTGGTCAAAGATGCTATTATGGGTTGAGCTGTATTTCCAAGAAAACAAATGTTTAAGTATTAAGACCCAATACTTCAGAACATGACTATATTTGGAAATGGGATCCCCGCAGATGTAATTAGTTAAAATAGGATCATAGTGGAATAGGCTGGGCCCTTAATCCAATGTGAATGCAGAGTCAGATATTAGAGTAATTCATCAACAAACCAATGGGTGCCTAGGAATACCAGAAGCTGGAAGATGTAAGGAAGGTTTCTCCTGTAAAAGCTTCAGTTGAAAGGCTTTATTGTAAGTAATCTCTACACCCCACAAGGAGTTAGACTTCACAGCCCTCAAATCAAGATTTAAGGGCTCTCCCAACTGAGCCAGCCAGGCATCCCCTTCCCTAAAAGCTTCAGGGAGAACATGGCCCTGAACTTCTAGCCTACAGAGTGTGAGGCAATAACTTTCTGTTGTGTTAAGCTGCCTAGTTTGGGACACCTGGTTATGGCAGCCATGGGAAACTAATAAACTTGGGACTCAAAGAATATCATTTAAAAACTGGCAAAGCAAGTGTCAGAAGCAGAAGCCTATTGGACAGCACAAAGATAAATGCTCAGATAACTTTACAGACAAATATGAGAGGGGAGACCAAGAAAAATCAGGAGATGACATCAGTCATGACAAGTCAAGGATAGATAACCTTCAAATTTTGTTGGGCTATATGAATTTTAATGTCTTACATAAACTGTTGAGACAGGGCTGTGCATATGAAAAAGTGTTAAGATGAGGTATCTAAGTGTCACTGAAACAGGAAAGAATTTTAGCCCTCTACTAAGAGTTTTGGCTTACCCATACCACTTCAGACAAATATGCAAAACTCCAATGGCAACTAGGGAACAACTTACTAGGTAACTTTTAAATTAGATTGAATTTCAACCTTTTTCTAATTACTGAACATTTTTGATAATGTCACTGTTTAGGTAAGTTTTCCTATTTATAAAAATCTTCCAATAGGGAAACATACAAAAGATCTTTTATAAAGCCATAAAAGGGGCACCTAGGGAACTCAGCTGGTGTCTGACTCTTGATTTTGGTTCAGGTCATGATCTCAGGGTTGTGAGACTGAGCCCCACAACAAGCTCTACGTGGGGCACAGAGACTGCTTAAGATTCTCTCTCCCTCCCTGCCTGCTTTAAAAGAAAAAAAAACATGAAAGACAAATTGGGAAATTTAATAATAAACTTTCCATATGGCAAAAAATACAAGCATTGTAAAACCAAAAAAAATTTTTTTCTTAAGACTAGGAACTATAACTCCTTCTTTAAAAATGGCTATTCATTCTCCCTAATACATCAAGAGTTCCAAGAAATGGAGGCCAAAAAAAGAGTAAAAATCCATGAAAAACAAGGAGCAACAAACATGGATAATCATAGCAAATACGGAGAAAATCATGCTCACAATCACAGCCCAACAATTTGAATTAAAGTTATACCGAGATACTATTTCATTGCCTACCAAAATGTCAACCACCCAAAAGATTTATATATCTTCAAACCATCCAAAACCTTTTATAAACCGAGGGCATAGGAAAACAGGCCCTCTCTAAAACTGTTGTAGGAAAACTAAGTAAGTACCTTTATGGAGTGGTTGTACTAATTTAATATGAACATGAATACAAATACTCTTTGATCCAAAAATCTCATTTCTGAGAACTTGCCCTACAGACCAATTTCACATGACCAAAATGAGGATAATACAAATGAAGCTGTAATAAGTAACCTTATATAGCCAAACATCCACAGTAAGGATATATATTCATACTTGGTTATGCATGCATAAGGAAACTCTAGGATACCTGAGAAACTAATAACAGCAGTTCCCTGGTGGGAAGGGATTCGGGAACAAGCAGACAAGGGACAGAGTAACGAAGGAAAATACACACAGGTGCACGAGTGCATCTACACGCAAATACACATGTAGACATTTCATAAAGCAATGAATTTACACTGTTCAAAAGGTACACACGCATATACCTATATGTGTAGACAATTTTCAAATAATGCAAATTATGGCCAATTAAAATATGACACTTTAAAAAGTCCTTATAACTTGATGGTTAAATTAGTTTACAGCTTCAGTTAAAATCTATGAAGTATCAGTATTCTTCTAGTATTTACCAATCTCAAGGCTTAAAACCTCAAATTAATACTACAAGATTAAAAAAATCTAAACCTTTAAGCTATTTCAAATGCTGATAAGACAACAGCGAGACGGATATTCTCATACACTGAGGTGAGAACATGAGTCTTTAAGACCTATTTAGAAAATAATGTGCTAATAATTTCACCTCTAGGTATCTAGCCTTAGGAAGTCAGATGAAACATTAAAAAAAATTTATAGGCAAAGCTGTTCATCTCAAATGGCAAAACAGACAATAAATAAACTAAAATGGCAAAACGTAAGAAAATATAGTATCAACCCCTACTCACCAGGGGCATCAAATAATCCATGTCTGATTCACGATATAGACTGTAACATTATTACTTTTCTTAAATACAGTCATTATAATAAGTGAAAATAAGAAACTATAAAAATTTGCAGAGAAAAAATGGCTTGAAACAAATTCAAAAAAATATTTGCAATGGTTACTTTTGAGAAGTGAACCTATAAGTGATATTTTTCTTCTCTACACTTTTTCCAATTTTCTTATACTGAACACGTATTTTTATTAAAGAAAAAAAGAAAGGTAAGTACCTACCCTCATAAACTTGTTCCAGAAATTTCACTAGGAGAATGATTCAGTGGAGAAGAGGAAGATCTGAAGCTACCTTCCTCAGCCATGTCCACCATATTCAGGAGAGTGATTTTGCAAACCTATCAGAAAAGTGTAATTTTTCAATGAGAACAACAACACAATCACTTCTAATTCTATGAACATGAACAATTACTTCAACACTTACCAACATTCTTAGGTGCAACTATGCAATGTTTTCCAATGAAAGTCACATGTTTTTCACTGTTGCTTGCTTCACTAGCACATTCATTTCCCTCTGATTTTCTTCATTATTTGGTATTTTTTCACTCTTTTCTGACAGCCAAACAGATGCTAGGCCGAGATTCTTTACTAATGAATCACTATCAGATTTTGGAGTGGATACCGATGGGGCTGTTACACGGTTACCAATATCTGTTAATTTGGTGTCAATAGGATAGGGCTTCATGTCAACTACCATATGTTCACTCTCTTTTCTATTTGTAAAAATTGAACATGGAAAGTTTTTTCTAAATGATTCCTGATTCTCACTCTTCCATTTTCACCATAAAAAGTAAATACTATATTTTCTTCTGGGTTCCCCTAAGGTTTTATTAGTAGCACCCAAGTCCACTGTATGGATGTTTTGTGTAGTCTGTTCTTTTGGCAAAGATAAATCCCAAATATCAGATGTACTACTGGCTCTTGAAAAGTCTTCCAGTCCACATTCATATCTACTAACTTCTGTTCTGGTAAGGTATTTCACCATATCAAACATGCTGGAGCCACTACTTTTTCCTATACAACTAGGCAAGAAATGAGACTCAGCGGAATAGTCCTTCTGTTCATTATCCTCCTGAAAAGTCGTCTCTCTAGTTTCATTTGAAAGTGCTTTGATCATGGCCGGAAGTTGGGAAGGATCAGTACTCACTGATGCATCTGCAATGGCTGAAGCAATGGTGCTTATCCTACGTACAGAATCACCACCAGTAGGTAGCTTGTGTTTTGTCTCTTTCGGGTTTACTACCCATGAAGAAATTATCCTAGAAAGAAAATTCACATCAGATAATTTTACTCAATTCCATGGACATGTACATATTAGTGTAATCTTTAGACATTACATAAAATTTCCCAGCAGCTAAAAGTTAATGGCATACCGATAAAATACCCTCATTAAATAAAGGACACTTGGTATCAACTTTAATGATATAGTACTGGGTTATTCAGAATTGGATTATCAAGTAAACAAAAATCTTCAGGCGTTAAAGAGATGATAAAGAGGAGTAAAAATTGAACCAGACAGTAATTTAAAGCAAAAAATTGGGGCGCCTGGGTAGCTCAGTTGGTTAAGTGCCCAAAGGTGGCTCAGTTCATCATCCCAGGGTCCTAGGACCTAGCCTTGCATTGAATTCCCTGCAAAGGGAGGAATCTGCTTCTCCCTCTCCCTCTGACATTCCCCTTGGTTGGGCCCTTTCTCTTTCTCTCTCCCTGTCAAAAATTAAAAAATGAAACAGAAACTTAAGATACTGAAATTGAGAATCCATTGAGCCATTGTGATTCCAAGTATAATTCTTGGTAATTTCATTCAATTGTTAGAATGATTTATAAACCAGACATAAATAGGAACCATGGATAAACAACTGAAATGGAACCAAAAGCAAAGAAACATAAACCTATCTAATAGTTAAAAATCCAAGGTAAGACTTCTTTTTTTTTTTTTTTTTGGGTGCAAAAAGGTGGTTTTTTAAAGTGCAGAAGCAGGATCCGAGGGCGGGAAGGGCTGCCCCGGGGTCCCCAGAGCGCCCATCACAGACTCTCAGGCTGGGGCGGGGTGAGGGCCAGCACAGGCCTCCCAGGTGCTTGGAAGCAAGGTCTCCGGGCCCTGAGGGGGCTGCCTGTTGTTGGGAGAAGCTCTTTGTTAGCCTGAGTCAGGAGACCCTTCGGGTGTGTATCTGCCATACTCAGGGTTTAGAGACACAGGAAGTTTCCAAAGGAATTTTTTTTAATTTTTTTTTTAATTTTTATTTATTTATGATAGTCACAGAGAGAGAGAGAGAGAGAGAGAGAGAGAGAGAGAGAGGCAGAGACATAGGCAGAGGGAGAAGCAGGCTCCATGCACCGGGAACCCGATATGGGATTCGATCCCGGGTCTCCAGGATCGCGCCCTGGGCCAAAGGCAGGCGTCAAACCGCTGCGCCACCCAGGGATCCCGGAATTTTTATTTTTTTAATTTTTATTTATTTATATTTTTTTTCCAAAGGAATTTTTATATGTTCAAGTAGACTCCCAGGGGCCTGGGGTTGGGCTGGAATTGCCGGCAGCCCTCGCAGGGTGCTACCACCGAGGCAGCTGAGCTCCGAAGGGAAGATCCCTGCCTGTTTTGGGGACGAATCAGTGCACTGGAGGCAGTGAGGACATTTCATTGCTCTTCTGCCTTTGTTTCCCACATCATTCTCCCCTGAACAGCTTTGACCCTTAAATCTTTGAGCTTGCCGAGGCTGAAAGGTCTGGTCTTCTGTAACTTCCGCTCCTGCACGGGGTCGTTGGGGGCCCCATCTGTGGTCAAGGCGGGGCAGCAGGGCCCACACCTGTAGGAGTTGCGAGAGGCTGGGGAGACCGCATGTGTGGTCCAAAGGAATCTTGGCTGGAAGTCCTGGCAGCAAAAGGTGTCTCCAGGGGGTGGGACCTGTAATACCTGTGGATTTGGGGGAGTTCCTTTTCACGAGGTCCCCAAAGCATCCTGAGTTTCCTGCACCTGCCAAGAAGTGACAGTCTTTACTCACTGGTGAGGCTGCTGGGAACTCTCACCAGGCATCGGGCCAGCAGTTCCAAGGGGCTTTGTGGCGGCAGGTTTCATAAGTCAGCCTTAGTCCTTAGAGCTGTTAGGTCATATCTGAGTTTCATAAATCCAACCTTAGTTCTTCAAAGCTGTTAGGTCATATCTGAGTTTCATAAATCCAACCTTAGTTCTTCAAAGCTGTTTGGCCATATCCGAGTTTCATAAATCCAACCTTAGTTCCTCAAAGGTGTTTGGTCATATCTGAGTTTCACAAATTCAACCTTAGTCCTTAGAGCGGTTTGGTCATACCTGAATCTATGCATGTCCCTCAAATACGATTTTCCACTCAAAGTCTTGGTAAAATAACCAATGTTTCCAGTGATGTCCTGTCACAAGGAGAACAGATTCTTATTGAACTTATGCAAATGACCATGGTTGCCATGGAAGAAAGAATACTCTCGGACACCTCTTGAATTTCAGAAGGTCCAGGTACAGAGAATAGTGAAATGTGTCAGTTTGTTCACAAATGCATATTTTATCATGTTTCTGTAAAGTCATAGATATCGTAAGAGAAATTTCCTTAATAGGGTCCTGGGGGTCGGGCTGCATAGCCTGTTGCTCTCAGCACAGTGCTAACACCGAGGCGGCTGAGCTCTAGGGGAACGTCACTCGTCACTCGGTCTGTTTCCAGGACGCGTCTGCCAATGGGCTGGGCTCCTGGTGGTCACCCCCAACCTGAGAACCTTTGGTGGGTGTAGGGGTCAAGCAGGCTGCAGTGAGGGGGTGTCCACTGCCACCCGCAAGCTTGCCGGCACTCGCCAGCCCCTCTTGGGTGCCTCCCCCTGTCCCCCTGAATCCATTTCTTCTGCCTTTTCCTAAGAGGCTCCCATCTTCCCATCTCACCCCCTACCAATGAGCGCAGCTAAGGGGCCTCCAGAAAAACCGAACAAGGTGAAAACCCGGGGTCCCTCCCTGAGGAAGACAGGGTACTCGGCCCTTTCCGACGAGCGCCCGTGGGGACACTAGGCAGGCTCTGTCCACAGGAGACATCCTCACATGCTGAGCACAGCAGAGCAGCCCCCCCCCCACAGCCGGCCTGCCCCGCCGCCCCTCTGCCCCAGCGTCCGGGGCTGCGGGGTGACAGCCTGGGGGCGGGGGGGGGCAGCTCTCTGGGGGCCTGAGTCCTGCCTGCAACTGCCTTGTCGGCCCTAGGTCTTCCGTCCATCTGTGTTCTGCTCACTTATCAGCTCTCCTCCATCCCACCCGGGTCCCCGCCAGCAGGCGACCAAGGTAAGACTTCTATCTCCAGTAATAGCAGACTAAGCAATGCAAACTAACTCTGGCTGAGAGCAATTAGAGCTGGATAGAATATCGAGAAGCAACTCTTAGACGGCATTGCAGAGCTAAAAAATGAAAAAAAAAAAAAAAAACCACTGGGCCAAATCCAAGACAAGAAACGATACAAGTACTGAGGAGGCTATTCCCTGGGGGGGGGGGGGGATCTGTTGCTTCAAGATGATGCTGTGGATAAGACTTGAAGAAGAAATTCAGCAAAGCTATTCCTATGGGAGTGAGGGTATAAAAACAGAGTTCCGTGCCCAAAAATGATTAGTGGTAAGGAATAGCCGGGGCAAACACCCATGCTTTCAGATGAGACCACAAAGGGCTTACACACCCTCAGAGAAAAGCAAAACCAAAATTAGGCTGCCCCTCAGAAGGACAGAGGGCCAGTTCCAATCACCTTCAATCCAAGAACTGGACTGAAGAGATCTGAGACTGCTAGTATTCCTCATTCATGTTAGAAGCAAACAGAAGTCCTGTCTGGAAGATTGTACATCCCATGGCCTCAAATTATTTCAGGGACTTTTCATGTAGAAGTCTACCCCTCCATTCATGAAAGACACATGGCATTCCAAGATAATGTGGCCCAAATCCCAGAGAAACAGACTCATGAGGGATATACAGGAATGAAGTCATCAGAACCCAATATACATCTAAATCTAAAATAAGTATCTAAAACATAAAACGTAAAACATACTTAAGTAAATAAAAGACAATAATGAGAATCAGAGGACTAGAAATTATTAAAAAGAATTAAATGTAAATCATATAATCCAAACTTACAGGAAACACAGTAAGAATCTAGTGGATGGGTTTCATAACAAACTGGATCCAACTGGAAAAAGAATGAGACTCATATGTCTGAAAAAAAATCCAGAATAAACTATGAAAGAGAAAGTAACAGAAAATACACAACAGAACAGAGGAACCAGAAAAAAAGCTACACTGAGAAGAGTTCGCGCTTCTATCAAGGTAGGAAGACGGTGGAAAAAGAAATAAAGAAACAAAAGGCCTCCGAGGGGGAGGGGCCCCGCGAGGAGCCGGGCTGAGGCCGGGGCGAGTGTCCCCAGGACAGGAGAGCCCCGTCCCAGAGAAGCAGGAGCTGCACCAACCTTCCCGGGCGGAAAGGGGCCTGCAGGGAGTTAGAGCAGGACCCAGGAGGGCGGGGATGCCCTCGGGCTCCCTGGGACACTACCAGACACCTGTGCGCCGAGCGCCGAGCTCCCTAAGGGCTGCAGCGCGCAGGGCGGCCCGGAGCAGCTCGGAGGGGCTCGGGCGTCGGCTCCGCGGAGGGGGCTGCGTGGCAACTCAGAGGGGCTCAAGCGGCTCCGCAGAGCGGCGGCTGCGCGACCGGGAGCGCGAATCCAACAGCGCAGGCCCCGGAGCACAAGGCGCCGGGACACAGCCCAGGATCCGGCCTCCCCCCGGGACAGCCAGGGGCCGGGAGGGCCCAGGACAGCAAGGACACTCCTGCCCCGAGCTGAGCAGATCAGCGGCCCCGCCCCGGAGCCTCCAGGCCCTGCGGACGGAGAGCCCCGTAGTTCCTGCGGGGGCTGAATATAGGCTTCCAGAGCTGCCATAGCCACTGTGGCTGTTCCTCCTGGGGCCTCACGGGGTAAACAACCCCCGCTGAGCCCTGCAGCAGGCAGGGGCAGAGCAGCCTCCCCCAAGTGCTAACACCTGAAAATCAGCACAGCAGGCCCCTCCCCAGAAGACCAGCTAGACGGACCAGTTCCAGGGTAAGTCAAGGGACTTAAAGTCTACAACATCAGAAGATACTCCCCCGTGTTTTTTGTTTTGTTTTCTTTTTTCTTTTCTATTTGATTTCTGATTGCTTCCCCCACCCCACCCCTTTTTTTCACCTTTCTTTCTTTTTCTTTCTCTTTTTCTTCTCTTTTTTTCCTCTTTTTCTTCTTTTTCTTT